TCCAGCACACCCTCCTTGTGAGCAATGTAAAGCCCGCCCTCAGCGGGGCGCGTGGACCCTGGGGCCGGGGCTCTAGGGCCCTGTGGGGCAGCGTCTATTTCCTGAGCTTGGGAGTTTTCTTCTTTGACCATCCCAGGTCTTCCAGAGGCCTAGGCAGGGGACCAAGAACCCGCCACTGTCCTAAGTGAAACAGACAGATGTAATTCATTAAAACGCTTGTCCTCGGGCCGAGGGCATCCCGCCACCTGGCTTGCTGGGGACCAGTCCTTCAAGCATATCGAACTGTTGGAACTAGAGAGGGGGGAAAAAAAAATCTCTTCTCAGCAGGAGGCCCAAGAGGCCTCTGACTCCTGCAGATGCACAGCTCCCGCTGTCAGGAAGGTTTGCTTTGAGCTCTGCTATTGGACTGACACACCAATTTTTGTTTTTACTCATGTCTTAAATAATTAGGAACACCCTCTATGTGCCAAGTGATGTGCCAGGCACTAGAGACATAAAGGTGGACAAAAATAGATCGAGTCCCGTCCTCATGGAGCTTGAAGTCCACTGGGCAGAGACAGGCATTAATCAGAGAATCACCAGATGTACTTAAAATTGAGGTGAGGGGGGGCTGGCCCCGTGGCCGAGTGGTTAAGTTCGCGCGCTCCGCTGCAGGCGGCCCAGTGTTTCGTTGGTTCGAATCCTGGATGCGGACATGGCACTGCTCATCAAACCACGCTGAGGCAGCATCCCACATGCCACAACTAGAAGGACCCACAACGAAGAATATATAACTACGTACCGGGGGCTTTGGGGAGAAAAAGGAAAAAATAAAAATCTTTAAAAAAAAAAAAAATTGAGGTGAGGGAAGGCTTCTCTGAGGAAGTGCCCCCTGAGCTGAGATCTGAAAGAGGAAAGGGGTGATAGGGAAAGGGAGGAAAGAGCATTCTGGGCAGAGGGAACCGCATGTGCAAAGGCCCTGTGGTGGGAGGATGAGAGGTTGAAAGAGCATCACAGAGGCTGGAGCACAGAAAGTGGGAGAGAGCTTGCCAAGATGACGTTTAAGATTGGGCATCCTATGCAGGACCCTTGTAGTCTATGTTAAGAATTTTCACCTTTTTTTGAGAGCCATGGGCAGCCCTTGAAGGGTTTTAAGGAGACGGAGGACGTGGTCAGAGCAGTGTCTTGGAATATACTGATTTCAGGGCAGCAGATAGAGAACAGAAGGCTGTAGTAGTTGTCCAGGTGAGGGAAGAATGACAGTACCTCTGACCATGATGATGCTGCTGGAGATGGAAAGAAGCTCTTTTGGGGGTGAGTCAACAGACCTCGGTGACGTAATGGAAGGAGAGGGAGGGGTTTAGGCCAATTCCTAGCTTGAGCAACTGGATGGAGGCTGGCACCTTTCACTGAGAGATTCCAGAGGAAGACCAGGAGGGCTTGGCGGGTGGCACAGGGAGGGGGAACAGCTGGGTTCTGTTTTGGACATGCTGAGTTTGAAGGGCCTCTGAGACCCACTGGAGGAGTCAAACTGGCAATGAGATATGGAGGCAGGAGTTCAAAGGAACGGAGAAGTGTCCACATGTAGGAGCTAATGGATACCCCGGTGTGGGTCAGGTCACCAGAGCAAGTATGGAAAGAAAAGGGGAGGGCTCCTAGGACAGCACACAAGGAACTTCCAATTTAATGACTGGGTAGAGGGGCGATGTGCCTCCACAGAGGCAGAGGTGTGGCTAGAGAGGTGAAGGAAACCCAAGGAAAGGTTGAATCACGAAAACCAAGGCATGAGGTTTCTGTCGTCGGCTGGAGTTGAAAGTAAACCTTTGGACAATGTCTGTTGGATTTAGCAACACGGAGGTGCTAGGTGACCCAGTGAGGGACGCTTTCTTAGAAAAAGAAGGCAGAGGGCTAGACAGGTGGAGATAAGGAACAGATGAGAGACAGGGAAATGGAGATGAGCGTGGTCAACCCTTTGCAGAAGGTGGGTTGTAAGAGGAGGAAAGGAAAAGGAGGGTTGCTGGATCTGAATCTGGATCGGGCAAAGCAGCACAGGCTTGAGAGCTGGATACAACTGAGCAGAGACAGATGGATGTGAAGAGAAGGGTAGAATAAGGTAGGGACAGGATCCAAAGGGCAGGAAGAAGGACCGGGTGAACAAGGAGGAGGGACAGCTCCCGGGTTGTAACAGAACGGGATGTATACAGATATGGGAAGATAAGGGAGTTCCTATCTGATGGCTTCCATTTTCTCTGATGGAAGTCAGTGAGGTCATCTCCTAAGAATGGAGGGAAATGAAAAGTCATGGGCTTGAGGAATGGGTAGAAGGTTTGACCCAGTCATTGTTGAGAGTGAGAGAGCAGACTGACCAGACACATGGCATGTGCAAAGGCCCTGTGGCAGGAGGGACTGTGGACAGGAGAGGAGGTTGAAGGAGCATCTGAGAGGCTGGAGAACAGAAACTGAGAGAGAGTGTGGCCAAGAGAGAGAGAACATGTGATATACTAAGATGTGCTATATACCATGCATCTGATACAACAAGATGTGCTAGGCAGAGTAGAATAGGCCATGATGAGGAAACGAATAAAGCAGGAAATCCCCCTGACTTGACACAGTAATGGTTTATTTCTCATTCACACAGTTTGAAAGAGTTTAGGTGACTCTCTTCCTTCATGTAGCCACGTCATCTGGAACACATGGCCTGGACATCTGCAGCAGCGTAACAGAGGGCTGGGGACCACTCAGGATGTTTCTAGGGGCCAGGCCTGAAAACGGCTCTCATTACTTCCGCCCACATTCTATTGGCCAAACTCCATCACATAGCACCAGCCTTATTATCCGAGAGGCTTGGGGATGTTGCCTTCCTGTATGCTCAGGAAGAAGAAACGGGGGACACGGGCATTACCGTAGTCTCTGCCGCAATCTGCGTGCCGAACCAGCAAGTTTTTCTTCTCACTCAGACACATACTCACCTCTCCTCAGGGGACACCATCCAAAGTCCTGCCCAGCCCCTGCGTCTGGCTTGAAGCCCGGGGGCACTGATGACTCGGATGTAGTCGTCTCTTCTCACCCAATGAGGCTCTTCTTGGTCCAGTGACCCATGAACTAAAAAGACAAGTAAGCTGCCCCCTCACCCCACCCCATACAGCGGTGGCATAGGGACAGGACTGCAGGAGACTCCTTCAGCACTCTGGTTCTGCTCCCCAGGAGAGGCTCTCCCATCCGCTCTGCGTCCTGGCTCTTCTCTCTGGGAGCTTCCTCCTTATCCATCATCCTCCCTGGCCACATCTGAAATGGGCGTGGCAGGGCATGCCCTCCTTAGGTGCTTCATACTCTCCCTCCTGCTCATGGATGGTTAGAGCTCGAAAGGTTGTTTTACAGCTGAAGACTGTCAAGGGTTTTTATTTTTGAGGGGGAGCCCCGGCTCATGGTCCCTTTGGTGATACACTTCTTCACAGGCTTAGCTTGCTCCTGTTTGTTTCTAGTTTTGGGTAATTTGTTATGCAGCATTATCGTAGCAATTGGTAACTGATACAGACGGGAATGCAGCTTCCCATGTAGTTTCCTGTGCCAGTAGCCACTCTCCTCCAAAGTCTTTTCCAGACATAATTCTTGAGCCTAATTTGTTTTGCTGGTTCACACCCACACTCTCCCTGTCTCCTCAATGGCTATCTTGAGGCTATTCGGAGTAGTAAATAGGAGGCACAACTTTCATCTGATCTTGTCCTGAGTCACTTTATCCAAGGGAAAAGCTTTATTGGGCCTTTGATGCTCAAAACTTTTCTCTCTCATCTTTTTCTACTTAGGGTGTAGAAGATTTTCCAGCCCCGGGAGGGCCTGGGTTTCTGGGTTCTATTTCCTTTTGCTATCACTCGAACACTATTCTTTCCTGAGCACGTGTCTCCCTTGTAAATCCTCACCCAACACAGCCAAGAGGAGCCAACGGAGATGACTAGTTTTCTGTTCTCCAGCCTCTTCCTGGTGGGCTGCCATCTTGGAAAGCATGGGGGGTACCTCCCAAGTTAGAGCAGACAATAGCTTTACCAAACATTTCGCTAGTGCATAACACAGATCTCCTACTTTTTGAGGGTCCTCTATCAGTTTCTGTGTTCACTTCTGCCCAACTGCTAAGCCAATGTGACCACAGGTGCATAACTCGATTCTTCTGGGCCCATTTCTTCACTGGCAAAATGAAGATAACAGTACAGGGCTGCTGCAGAGACCGAGCAAGTCAGTGCATGCACAGACGGTCCCTGACTTACGATGGGACTTACTATGATTTAGTACGATGGGTGAAAGCGATACACATTCAGTAGAAACCGTACTTCGAATTTTGATCTTTTCCTGGGCCAGCGATGTACGGTACAACCCTATCTCATGACACTGGACAGCAGCAGCTCCCAGTCAGCCACACGCTCACAAGGTAAAACAATCGATATCTTTACAACCATTCTGCACCCAGACGACCCTTCTGTTGTTCACCTTCAATACAGTATTCAGTAAATCACGAGATATTCCACACCTTTTTATAAAATAGGCTTTGTGATAATTTTGCCCAACTGTAGGCTAATGTAAGTGTTCTGAGCACATCTGAGGTAGGCTGGGCTAGGTCATGATGTTTGGCAGGTTAGGTGTATTAAATGCATTTTCGACTTAAGATATTATCAACTTACAATGGATTTATCGGGACGTGACCCCATCATAAGTCGAGGAAGCCTGTACAGTGTGAGCCCAACGTGTGGTCTGGAATAAGCGCTCAGTGAATGTGAGTGGTTACTGCTGCTGTTCAAATGGGCGAAGAGGAATTACACGTGTTCGCAAGAGTCTGATATACTAAGCAGCCGCCTTTTAAAAAAAAAATTAAGGTGAGAGGTTCACCAGGGGCCAGGATGCTCGTTCACACAGGCCAGGCAGTGATGCTTTTTCTCTGTAAGCAAACCTACATGGGAAGCTGCATTCCTGTCTGTATCAGTTACCAATTGCTACGATAATGCTGCATAACAAATTACCCAAAACTTTGTGGCTTAAAAGAAAAAGCATTTATTTAGTTTGAGGGTCTGTGGGTTGGCAATTTGGACTAGGCTTGGCTGGGTAATTCTTCTGGTCTTGACTGGGTCCCCTTATCTGTCGACTTTGGCTGCGGTGACTAGGACACATCTGTCATCCTCCTGAAAGCTAACCTGGGCAGGTTTTCGGGTGGTGGCAGAGGCACAAGAGTTAGGGCAAGCCCAGTTTGCAAGTGCTTTTCAAGGTTCTGCTTGCTTCACAATTACTGACATTCCATTGGGCAAGCAAGGCCCTTGGCTGACCCCACAGTCAGGGTGGAGGGTCCTGCAAGAAGGGGGAAACAGGGGTGAAGAACCTACCAGAAATCATGAAAATGATTGGTGAGGGTGAACTCAGAACAAGGGAAGTTACTTCCACAACATTAAAAATAGGTGTCTGAGAGCTCCGTGGCTTGGTGTCCCCACCCTTACTGTGGGGACAGACCGGCCACACAAGGCTGGATGTCCTACGGCCGGCACAGTGCCTGACACACAGGGCCCAATCCTCCCTTCTCCTCCGTTCATGTCTCCCTCCTGCAGAGGTGCCCGGGCCTGGCTCTCTCTCATCCTCGTCTGCGGCTCCTCATCTGGCACTGGGCCTACCACGCAGTGCTGGTGCAGACAACCTCGGCTTAGGAATCAACGAAATAGTGAAAGAACGAACAGCAAATTCCTCAAGGACAAACAAGATACGTTCTTCTCTGGTCCCCAGCATCGAGTGAAGACCATTACAGTGCATCTTTCACAAATTAGATTTCTGAGCATCATTTTTCCTGTTTGGACCCAGCCGACTGCCTAGTTCTACTTGTGCTGCAAACACAGCATCTAGTACATCTGCTAAAACCTTCTCACCTCTGCAGGACCCTGCTGAGGGGGTGGCAGCCAAGAGAAAGAGGGAGGCAAGGGTCCTGCTCACAAGGGGCCTGGCATCAGAGCCTCTGCAGGAACTGGCACTGGCTTGTCAGCAAAAGCGTGGGAGTCAGCGGGTGTGACGGAGGTTGGGCACCTCACCTTGGGACCCTGGACTGGGGTTTACCAGGCCTTCCTGACCGGCTACATCCAGCTCAGAGCCAGCCTCTGACTTGGAGGGAAAGGACAGTGACAGGAAGACCTGGAAAGAGTCCAACCTCATCTCTGCTGCTCCAGGGAAGGACGAAATCCTCGATGCAGGGCAGACTTTGAGCCCTGCCCTCTGGCCCCCCTCCAGATCACAGGAAGCCTCTCAGAACTCAGGACCACCACCTGCAGAGCCAGGCTGCTCCTGTCCTGCTTGGAGGGCTCAGGTGGTTAAGGCTGGAGCTGCTGAGGCTGTTGCCCTCTGAAACTTAGGGTCCTGGTGGTCTTCTAGGGAACCAGAGGGTCTCTGCCAAGTCCAGTGCACAGCAGCCCTCCTCGGACCAAGAGGAGACCCAGGAGGAGAGGACAGCGGCAGGAGGAATGACGATGGCTTCCCTGTTTTGAGGGAGTAGAGCATACGGTGTAAGTGCACAGGCCCTGGCGGCCCTCGGCCTGGCTTCCAATTCTAGTTCCACCCCTTCCCATCTGACTTCGAGCAAGAAGCTTCTTCTCCCCAAGCCCCACTTTCCTCATCTGTAAAAGGGGAATGATAATTGTACCTTCCTCGTACCATTGCTGTGAGGATTGAACGAGATAACCCATGCTCTTAGCAGTGTTGGGCACACATAAGCAAACAGTCCCGTTAGCAACAATTACTACTGAGTGTTGCTAGGGGCCCAGGTACTGTGTGAAGGGCTTTACACACGACTCCATTTAGTCCTCACACTCACATACGAGTTGAAGTTCTTCTTCTTCTCCTTTTTGCTGAGGAAGATTCACCCTGAGCTAACACCTGTGCCAATCTTCCTCTATTTTGTATGTGGGTTGCTGCCACAACGTGGCTGCCGAGTGGCATAGCTCCACACCTGGGAACCAAACCAGGGCCGCTGAAGTGGAGCACGCCAGGCTCTTTTTCCTTCCCTTTTTCCACATGAGACACAGAAGTGTGGAGAGGTTAATAACGTGCCCAAGGTCACGCAGCTGACCCATGGTAAAGCCAGGATTCTAACTTAGTTCTGATTCCGGAACAGCTGCCCTGAACCGCTCTGCTCTGCTTGGCTTCCCCTCAACAGGTGTCCTAGGATGTCACCAAATGTGCACATTTTATTAAATACCAACTACATGAACTGAAACCCACTGGCAAACAAAACGGACATCTTAATGTCATAACTCGCTTTTTAAAACCACATGCTGTGATGTTTAGTTACATAAAATACGTTCACATTGCCCTTTTTGAAGCGAACATTCTCCTCCTCGGCAGGAATATCTGGATTCAGGCGAGTCCTGGACCCAGCAAAAGCCCTGAACTCTTTTCTGGCTATGGGTCAGGAGGAGGTGGATTTCTTCTCTATACACCTCCTTCTTTGAGGCCTGATGTTACTGGATCCCTTCACCTTCTCTACCATCTGCTCTCAAGCGTCTGACTGCTCACACACATTTGTTTCTTGAAGCCGAAAGGGCACTGCTTTCCTGAGGCCACCTGTTCCCCCAAGTCTATCACCTGATGGGGGCAGATTCTAACGCCGGTCCTCGTTCCCAGAGGGCCCCCTGGGAAATTGAGGTGTCACAAGGTGGCTTAACTGGAAGCTGACCAGTATCATCAGCTTGACAGCTGCAGGACGGCCAGTCCACCCTCCTCAGGTCCAACAGGCTGTAGCAGTAAGAGGGGCTGTCAGCTCAAAGCCTCCCAGACCTGCTTGCCATTTAAGGCTGCCTGCGCTTCCTTATCACGGCATCGTCCTCTCTTCGTCTAGCCACGACAGCAGATAGACTGAAGGATAAATGTGAGTCTCTCAACCCTCCCAATGGAATTCCTTTCCCTGGAAGCAGGTGTGTGCTGGTGCTGGCCTCGCTGGAGCTGGAGGGACAGACCAGATGATCTTCAGATAACGCCCAAAGCCGGGGAGAGACGCCTTGACAATGACCCCCAACAGACACACTCCATCTAAGGCGCAGAGCTCGGGCAAAAGTTGTTTGGTGTATGGATTCTGCAGACTGAAAATGATTGAGAGGAAATGACAGGAAAACAGCCTTTACTGACCCAGTTTGACGTGTCACGCGGGAGCCTGCGCGACATGAGACTCATGAGACCACTTCAGATGGGTCAGGGCAGGGCCAGACGCCCATCCGCCCGGCGCAGGCTGGGAATGAGGTCAGCGGGCAGTGAGGCGTCCAACAGAGAGGAATGAGCCTAGCTTCTGTTCCTTACGGATCCTTGGGGGGCTGCTGGCTCTTGCTCTGTGTTTATTAATTTTTAAAAAATGCACTGTGGCCGGCCTAGTTTTACTTAATGCCTAATAAAGGGAAAAACTGTTTACATAGCACCCCTGGGTCTGAGACTGAGCAGCTGAAGTTAGCAAGATCCTTCACTTTCAGAGATGACACAAGCCAGCAGCCTGGGAAGAAAACAATTCCTTTAGAAGCATGCCATTCCCAGGTGAAAGTGGCAGCAGCTGAGCATTATGTTAAATAAGACAAAATCGGAGTAAGGAGAGATCACACCCTGGGGAATAAAGCCCCGACCGCATACTTGGCTGCTGGGCTCGGTTGCGTAAGTGTCCAGGATAGATGGGTAAGTCACTGCCCAGTGCACGTGCACTTCTTATAGTCCAGATAAATCTCTCTCTGTAAAACTCTATTTGACATTCTCCCCACAGTACATCAAATGAGGCCCGAGAATGGCCAGAGGCTGTGGTGTGCTCCCAGGGTGATGTCTTCTCGTCTGCCCTGCTTCTTTCTGCCTCCCCATCCTCACTCCTGTTCCTCGCTTAGGTGAGAGTGCTACAGAATTTTCCATCAAAGGAATCGTCACCGGGGTCTGTTTTCCCTCCAGTCTTCACGGGCTAGAAGGCACCCCGCGGTTCTTTAACAAGCTCAGCTTTCCTGTCTGCAGATGAGACTGCCCTGCACGCAGTTCTGGGGACCTCGCTGACACACCAGGCAACGTGTTTCAGGAGACAGGTTTTAAGCCTCAGGCCAAGGCCATGACTGAGCACCTCTATCTACTGAGCTCCCTGTGTCCTGGGGACCAGCTAAGAACTCCGCAAGCTTTAACGTCTGCTCAACTAGTTAAGATAGGGAGTGCAGTCACCCCCATCTCACAGATGAGGAAACTGAGGCTCAGGCCCACTCATGTCTCCAGCAAGGAAGCAGCGGGCCCAGATTTGAACTTGGAGCCAGCACCTGCGCTGCCTCCTTATTTACGAGCTCCCTTGGGTGACCGAGTGCTTACTTTGGGAAGCACCCGGCAGCTTCCTGCCCCTACGTGACACACAGGTCATCTCGGTACTGTCAAGTTTCTTTGCCATAACTTTTCAAAGCACAGATTTCTACAAAGTTTCCACTAGTACGGTAGTGCGTTCTGGTAGAAAGTTCCTGAGCTCTGGAGGCACGCTGAACTCAATGAGACTCTAGCTTTGGGACTGAACAGCGATGCGACCTTGGACATATTACTCTCTCTGAGCCCACTTTCTCATCTACAAAGTAGGTGTGACACCGCTTGTCTGCAAGAGGGCTGAGAAGCTTGAATGAGATCACGTGAGTAAAGGCTGGTTCTCTTCCCTTCTCTCCTTAGCCAGAGACACTGGGGGGGCAGGCAGGACCATGAGGCGGCCCTGGGGGACCCCGTAGCTCAGTCACACTGGAAACGTGCACCTCCTCCCTGCATGCAGCTCTAATGATCACCAACATCTGCTTCTCAATGCCAGCCTGGCTTCCGCAGGTCCACCCCTTCAGATGCTCCTGGCCCGGTCCTGGTGATGACCGTTCTGACTGGCTTACAACTCCCACGGCAAATTCTCCTAGTGAGACGGCCTCTGGCAAGGCAGAAGTCTTCTGGCCCAAAGGCTAAACACTTTCAACTAATTCATTCTGACATATTATTTCTTCCGTGACATTATTTCGTCAACTAAAATAATTACAAAGATGGGAAATATAGAAAAAGTTGCTATAGCGCTCTGTGGAGATAAAATCCATGATTGCGACCTTGTAAAACTCTATAAACATAGGACTCCGAAATATATGGGAACAGACAGAATGAAAATGACTGTGTGAGGTTTGGGGAATTGTGATTTTCCTTTCTTAGATATTCTTTAATATTCCATTATAGTTCTGTTTCCAGAGTGAACATTTCAAGGAAAACCTGATGGGTATGTTGACTCCTGAGCAGCAGGCCCGCCCCGTTCCTGCTCGCTGCCCTCATTCTGCCTGCTGTGCCTTTGAAGGGCTCAGCTCAGGGGGCTTTGATCAGCTTCCCTTGGCAGAAAGAACCAGATCGGACTGGAAAGGGGGGATTTCACAGGAACAAAGCTCTGGGCTGCTCAGGGCGCTTTCCACCCAGCACCGGCAGCCGCCGCCTCCTTTCACAGAGCACACGCGGCGCCTGAAGCCAGGAGCCAGCACAATAGCTTCCCCTACAGTGCCCTCCTGTGGCCGAGGCTGGCAACACTGACATCCTGCTTTTGAGGCCTAGGACCGAACAAAGCGTCGGAATGAGACACACTGAACATTTACACGTCCTGGGAGCGAGATGGGTCCATCCTTTGAGGCAGGACGAACGGTCCGGGCGGGTTGAGTGTCTAGGGACAAGTGGGAAAACAGGGCCGGGATCCATCATAAGCCATGCGGGTTCACAGACTGAGGCCAGGCAGGCGGAGGCGCCCAGCTCAGTGGGGCTTTTCAAAGAGGTATTCGAGATCGGGGGCACGCAGTCTCTGCTCCTTGTTTTTGTTTTTCGCAAAGTCTCTCAGCAGTGCCATGACTTCATTCTCAAATATTTCTGGGGCTGGTTTTGCTTCTGCAAGAGAAGAACAGGCAAGAAGAATTACGTGTGTTGGCCAGTCAATACTCAGGTAGAAGGATCTTGAAACTTGAAACTGCGGTCCTGGCCAAGAAGCACAGTCGATAGACAGACCTCTCCCTTCTTCCTCCAAATACACACGCAGCCTATACCAGGAGCTGGCAACCTACGGCAGCCTGTATTTGTACACAGCTCTCTGGAGCAGCCACTCCCACTTGTTCCATATTGTCCGTGGCTGCTTTCGTGCTATGATGGCAGAGTTAACAGCTGCAACGGAGACCACATGGCCGCAAGCCTAAGGTATTGACTCTGGGCTTTTAGGAACAAGTTGGCTGACCCCTGGCCTGTCCAATCTTGGCTGTACTATTTGGCTCTGCATTTGGTATTTCAGTTGTTTTCTGGGTATTGTGTTCCCTCCCCCCTCCCCAATTTCCTAAGGCAAAAGTCCTCGGTTATAAGTGACAGAAACTAATAACTCCAGTAAACTTAAGCCAAAGGGAACTTATTGGAAGGTTATTAGAGGCACGCAAAACTGACATAAACCTGGAGAACCAGATTTGAATGGACAGGCAAGAAAGACACTGAGCGAAGGCATGAGAAGGCCAGCCTGAGTCCAGAGGCAGGCAGTCTGGCAGTAGGCCGCTCACCTCCAGCTTTTCCTTCCACCTGAGACACACTCACTTAAGACTCAAATTACAAGCAAAGCCTCCCACTGGGAAAGCTGATGTAAGGTGCTCTGGAATGAGCCTCCTATCAAGACCAACTACAATGCTAGGAGAGGGAAGTACTCCAAACAAAGTCTGAGTCCCCTCACTCAGCACAGGGCCTGACATTGGGTGGGGGTCTGGCATCTGTTTCTCTGTGACAATCAAAATAAGATCAAGGAGGTTTAGGGCTGGCCTGGGTGCATATTGGTTAAGTTCGCATGCTCTGCTTCAGCAGCCCAGGATTCACAGGTTTGGTTCCTGGGCACAGATCTACACACTGCTCATCAAGCCACACTGTGGTGGCGACCCACATACAAAATAGAGGAAGATTGGCATAGAAGTTAGCTCTGCAGCAATCTTCCTCAAGCAAAAAGAGGAAGATTGGCAACAGATGTTAGCTCAGGGCCAATCTTCCTCACCAAAAAATAAAGAAAGAAAGAAAAAACAAAAGTAAAAGGTTTATATATTGAATTACATCTTTTTATTTTTCAAATTGCAAACTTTCCCAACACGATTTATTAAGTAATTCATCTTATCCCTTCCTGATTTGTAGATTCCCATATTACATAAATTTTTGTATATACTAGGCTCTCTCCTATGCTCAGTAATCTTTCAGTGGTGCTTGTACCAATTTTACATTATTTTAATTGTTATAGCTTTACAGTACAGACTAATACCTGGTAGAGCAAATCCTCCTTTGTTATTCTTTATTTTTATGCACACTGTTTAAAAAATGTAAGTGCTTACTGGGCTTTACTAATAAGCATCTAGAGCAGGAGTTGTTAAACTATGGCCCACAGTCCTAATGTGGCCCACCCCCTGTTTTTGTAAATAAAGTTTTATTAGAACACAGCCACACACACACAAAAAGATCAAGGTTTAGGCTTCCCCTAGGATGCTGAAAGTTGGCAAGAGCACTGCTCTCACCCTTACGAGAAAAAGTTAAACTACAAATATTGCAACTTTCAAGTCATCAGAGAGCTGAGGTCACAGGGCAACCAAGTAGAATAAAATCTAAGGAAAGAGAAGCCCCTCAAAAGAGAAAGTGGACACGAGCACTTGCTCACCTGAGACAGGACGAAGGAAGAAGAGACACTCGGCACCATACATACAGGTAAGAATTCAGCTAAAACTCTTTTTCTTTTAAAGACTGGCACCTGAGCTCACATCTGTTGCCAATCTTTCTTTTTTCCTTCTTCTCCCTAAAGCCCCCAAGTACACAGTTGTATATTCCAGTTGTGGGTCCTTCTGGTTGTGCTATGTGGGACGCCACCTCAACACGGCTTGATGGGCAGTGCCATGTCCGCACCCAGGATCCGAACCGGCACAACCCTGGGCTGCCAAAGTGGAGCGCGTGAACTTCAGCACTCGGCCACGGGGCAGCCCCTCACCTGGACGAACTGCCGACAGCCTGCGTAGGCTGATGTGGGGGCATGAAACCCCTGGAGCCACACACAGGGGAGTGCACACCCACCTGCAGGTTCTTGTCAACAAACTGCCGACAGCCTGCGTAGGCTGATGTGGGGGCATGAAACCCCTGGAGCCACACACAGGGGAGTGCACACCCACCTGCAGGTTCTTGTCAACAAACTGCCGACAGCCTGCGTAGGCTGATGTGGGGGCATGAAACCCCTGGAGCCACACACAGGGGAGTGCACACCCACCTGCAGGTTCTTGTCAACAAACTGCCGACAGCCTGCGTAGGCTGATGTGGGGGCATGAAACCCCTGGAGCCACACACAGGGGAGTGCACACCCACCTGCAGGTTCTTGTCAACAAACTGCCGACAGCCTACGTAGGCTGATGTGGGAGCATGAAACCCCTGGAGCCACACACAGGGGAGTGCACACCCACCTGCAGGTTCTTGTCAACAAACTGCCGACAGCCTGCGTAGGCTGATGTGGGAGCATGAAACCCCTGGAGCCACACACAGGGGAGTGCACACCCACCTGCAGGTTCTTGTCAACAAACTGCCGACAGCCTACGTAGGCTGATGTGGGAGCATGAAACCCCTGGAGCCACACACAGGGGAGTGCACACCCACCTGCAGGTTCTTGTCAACAAACTGCCGACAGCCTGCGTAGGCTGATGTGGGGGCATGAAACCCCTGGAGCCACACACAGGGGAGTGCACACCCACCTGCAGGTTCTTGTCAACAAACTGCCGACAGCCTGCGTAGGCTGATGTGGGAGCATGAAACCCCTGGAGCCACACACAGGGGAGTGCACACCCACCTGCAGGTTCTTGTCAACAAACTGCCGACAGCCTGCGTAGGCTGATGTGAGAGCATGAAACCCCTGGAGCCACACACAGGGGAGTGCACACCCACCTGCAGGTTCTTGTCAACAGACCGCCACTGAGCATGCTCCGACAAAGACAGGGTTCAGACAGGGGGCTGGAGAGAGCCTCCCTCAGTGATTCATGCCAGGAGGGGAGCGGCTGACACTGCAAAAAGAAGCATAAAGCCCAGCCCAGCCCTTCTCCTCTACAGAACAAAAGCCTCAGCAACTAGGAGCAGGTCAGTGAATCCTGTCTCCTACAGGACACACGTGAGGACCCATTTGGGCTGGTGGAAGGGTAAAAGAAAAAAACCCCTCTACCCTTGTGGGAAGGGCAGGATCACTGAGAAAGCCCACCCCTAAGACCCAGGCTACAGGGATGAAGCTGGACCAGGATAACAGAGAATACCCTCCCCACCTCCCTCCTCAAACTTACAAGCACCAAGTGCAAAACAACAGGAGTCTACTGCTGGGGGAGGGCCAGAGCATGGAGAGCGATTCCCTGTGAGGCATAGAAATACAGGAAGGCTGCAAGCTGAGGGTACAACAGGAACATTGAGAAACACCCTCTGGAAACTCAGCCCCCACCCTAAGCACATGGTAACAATAGAGGCTGGTGGTGCACTGAAGGGAACCAAAACAACGACAAAATCCAATGTGAGCTTAACTCCTAACTAGACTGACTCGATCCCCAAATTAACAGCCTAGCAGAAGCAGCACGACCATTTCCAGGCAAAAAATACTACTTATCTTGGTCTTTACTCTCTTACTCATGATGTGTAACATTCAATCAAAAATTATGAAATACAAACACATAAAAGAAAAAAAAAACACACTGTGAAGGAACAAAGCAATCAACAGAAACACACTCAGGGATGAGTTAAAACTATTAGACAGGGAATTCAAATAAAGTAACTATGATTAATATGTTAAAGGCTCTAGTGGAAAAAGTAGACAAAACGTACAAACCGATGAGAAATTCCAGCAGAGATGGAAACTACAAAAGTCAAAAGGAATGTTAAAAATAAAAATACAGTAACAAATAAGCAGAATGATCTCAAAAGGCTCATCATAAGATCTGACATGGTCAAGGAAAGAATTAGTGAACTGCAAGATAGTCAACAGATATTACCTAATACAAATTACTCAAACTGTTACATAAAGAGAAGAATGAAAGACACAAAGGAGAGAATCCAAAAGCTTTGGGACAGTATCAAACAGTCTAACCTAAATGTAACTGGAATCCCAGAAGAAAAAGAGGGAGAAAATAAGGCAGAAGAAATATCTGAAGAGATAATGACTGAGTTTTCCAACAATAATGAAAGGTATAAAAACACAGATCCAACATACCCAAGCAGGATAAATACCAAAACCAAACAGACATATTCGAACAAATGAAAACCAAACATGAAATACTGAAAACATTCAGAAAGAAAACGTACGTTACATACAAAGGAATAGACATAGCTTACTTCTTGTCAGAAAGTATGCAAACCAGAAAATAGCACATGCAAACACCAGAAGAATTTGAAGCTGGTGGAACACTGAAGGTAATCAAAGCAACAAACCCAAATCCGGTTCAACTCCGAACCAGACTGACTTGATCCTGCACAGAACAGCCTAGCAAAGGAGGTGTGCCCACGTAAAGTGCCGAAAGGAAAAAGTGTGAGCCTGTAATTCCATATCCACCAAAAATATCTTTCGAAAATGACAAACAAAAGCCGAGAGAATTCATAATAGCAGACCTGCACTACAAGGTCTGCTAATAAAGGAAGTTCTTCAGACAGAAGGACTATGATACTGAGAAAAACATGGATTGATGTAAAGACATGAGGATCTCTAGAAATGGTTAAAATGAAGGCAAATATAGGGGCTGGCCCTGTGGCCGAGTGGTTAAGTTCGCGCGCTCCGCTGCAGGCAGCCCAGTGTTTCGTTAGTTCGAATCCTGGGCGCGGACATGGCACTGCTCATCAGACCACGCTGAGGTGGCGTCCCACATGCCACAACTAGA